AGAAGCACTTTATCTGCCCTTCCATTCTAAATGAAAGTTTTGCTGGACAGAGCAATCTTGGATGTAGGTCTTTGGATTTCATGACTTGGAATACCTCTTTCCAGCCCCTTCTTGCCTGTAAGGTCTCTTTTGAGAAATCAGCTGGCAGTCTGATGGGAAGTCCTTTGTAGGTGACTGTCCCCTTATCTCTTGCTGCTTCTAGGATTCTCTCCTTCATTTTACTCTTGGCTAATGTAATTATGATGTGCCTTGGTGTGTTTCTTCTTGGGTCCAACTTCTTTGGGACTCTCTGAGCTTAGTGGAAGTCTTATTTCCTTTGCCAGATTGGGGAAGTTCTCCTTTATTATTTGTTCAAATAAGGTTTCCACTCGTGACTGTTCCTCTTCCCCTTCTGGTACCCCTATAAGAATGTTGGAATTTAAAGATGTCCTGGAGGTTCCTAAGCCTCTCTTCATTTTTTTGAATTCTTGTTTCTTCATTCTTTTCTGTTTGGTCATTTTTTTCTTCTTTCTGGTCCACTCCATTGATTTGAGTTCCAGTTTCCTTTCCATCACTACTGGTTTCCTATGCATTTCCCTTCATTTCACTTAGTTTAGCCTTCATTTGTTCCTCTAATTTGTGACTAAAATCAACCAGTTCTGTAAGCATCCTGATCACCAGTGTTTTGAACTGTGCATCTGATAGGTTGGCTATCTCTTGGTTGCTTAGAAGTATTGATTCTGGGGCTTTGACCTCTTGTTCTTGAGCCATAATGTTTTGGTCTGTTCGTACCTGTTATGTATGAGGGGCGGAGCCTTAGGTGTTCACCAGGGTTGGGCAACCCGGTCCCTGGGTTGTGATGCTGTATGTGGGGGCAGGGTCTGACAGGGGCAATGGCGTTTTTTTCTGCTCTCTGTTGGATTTCAGTCTTCTCTGCTGCTTCCCACAAGCAAATTGGGCCCCCTTGGTGCCGGCTCTTGGTTGTGTGGGCCTGTGTACCCTCCAAGACCCTGTGGGCCTCTCCAACAAACTCTCTGTGAGCCTGGGAGCTTCTCTGGGCACCTTGACCCTGAAAGTTTTTCCAATTGGTGCTTTCAGGCTCTAATTCCCAGCTCTGGGGCCCTAGCCTGCGTGGTCTATCTCACTGCTTGTTTTTTCACCCGATTTATTTGCCTGTGAATATGTGACTGAGATCAGCCAGCCGCCTTGCACTCCCACTCAGTCAGCCCATTGCCACCCTGCGCCTGGGATCTGCCAACCACCGCCTGCGAGCCTGGGTCAGTCCGAACGCTTTTTCCTGTGTGGCCCCACTCTGCCAGCTGCTGACTCCACCCCTCTTACGGTGTGGCTGAATGGTTCGTTGTTGTCGGACTTCCGTACAGTTCAATTTTCTGTGTTTTAGTTGCATGTTTGTTACTAAAACTTCGTTGTCTTTAAACTTGATTGTGTGAGGAGGCACAGTGTTTCCACCTACACCTCCATCCTGGCCAGAAGTCCCCTCTTTTCTGGTAGTTTTGTAATTCCCTGTTCCTTTCTTTCTTGCTTGCTGTTTCCTTTTGTGATTTCATGCTTTTCTGCAGTGGTATGCTTAGATTTCTTTCTCATTTGTATATGTGCTAAAGGTTTTTGCTCTGTGGTTATCATGAAGGTTACATAAAACATGTTACATTTATAATCATCTGTTTTAAATTGGTAACAATTTACATTTGAATGCATTTTAAAGCTTCACATTTTTATATCTCCACCCCACATGTTATGTTTGGATGTCACAATTTGCATCTTTTTATCTTGTGTATCACATAATAATCTGTATCAGACTGCTTCTGTAGTGCAATTGCTGTCTAGGTGGGGAGATTGCTTCCTGGTGCTTCCTACTCCACCATCTTCCCAGAACACTAGCTCATTGACTTTTAAACTTGAAGTTTTATGTAGATTTGTTTTAAAAGAGACAAGTTTCACCCTACCTGGTATAGCTCATTGGATTGAGGGCGGGCCTGTGAAGCAAAGGGTCGCCAGTTCGATTCCCAGTCAGGGCACATGCCTGGGTTGCAGGCCAGGTCCCCAGTAGGGGACACATGGAGAGGCAACCACACATTGATGTATCCCTCTCACTCTTTCTCTTTCCCATTCCCGCTCTCTAAAAATAAGTGAATAAAATATTTTAAAAAAAGAGAGAAGTTTCTTGTGAGCTTCTTTTGACCAAAAATTATGCTAATTCATAAGTAAGTAAAACTATAAAACCAATAAAGCTCATAACCCAAAATCATTCAAACTAATGTTATTAGTTGAAATGGACTGATGACATTTTATTCCAAGTAAATTCCTGCTATGAATGAGAACATTTAGTTGTCTTTTTGTGATAAAACTTAGCATGAATTTACCAGTGACTTATTTGAAGTATACAGTTCAGTGGCATTAACTGCTTTCACACTATCAAGCAACCATCATCACTATCCTCCTTTAAAACTTTTTCATTGACCCAGAGTGACCGTCTGTACCCATTAAAAATAATTCCACATTCTTCCCTTTCCAGTCATAGATTCCTTCTTTTTTGGGTTTTGCATATCTATCCTTTAATATAATGACTTAGTTTTCTTATCGCTTTGCTCTATTAGAAGTACCTTGACTTTTTCATTCATACTCATTCATAGTTTGTTGTGACATTATTTGCTATTCACTTAGAAGGAACTCAACATTTGTATATGAAGATTGCCTCTCATTTTTTATCAGTTTTCTATATTTAAAGTAATTTTACTACTTTATCAAAGTAATAAATTTCCATAAATTTAATTAAAGTAATAAAGTAATTCTTACTACTTTTTATTAAAATAATTAATCGGTGGCAAATACAAAAGAGCATGTGGTAGTCTCTCAGAATATACTTAATTTAATATTTTAAATTAGCATTAAAACATTTAGAAATTACTATAGACTTTGTACAAGTTTTTGATTTCCAATGTGAAGAATACAGAGTTGGAGGACCCAAGATGTAAAATAAGAATTAGGATAGTCACGCCCCAGAATTGAAGGAATGTGTTTCTTAACGTGGTTTCTAGAAGTCAGCACTGTAGAATGTGGTAGAGAGTATGAGGGTAATATAGTGTGACAGAAAGTAAAGTAGCATTCAGTGTGATTATTAGCTGAAATTTTACTATTTTTTGAAAAAATAGAGTTACATCTTCTCAATTAAGAATATTTGATGTGGTGTTAAGGAAAGTATGCTATTTCTTATTTTTTCAGAATTTTTACCCCCTGTATTCTCAGATTTTCTGAGAATCTCTTAACACACAATGCTCTGATATTATACTTATTTTGGAAGTGAATTCTTCCTCATTTGTTTTTAACTTCATGACATCTCTTAAAATAATATGAGATGTCTTACTATATAACACATCTAGGTTGGAGCATTTTAAACATTCCTACCTAAATGGACATTTTAATTCTTTAAAATACTCTGTGGTAATATTTTTATACTTTCTTCGAATATATAGAAATATGGTAGGATAATTTGGTGAGGTTTGTTTTATTGTTGTGATAAAAGGTTGCAGTGTCAGTAAAGCCACATTGGTTTTGAGTTGGTTTTAATGGAAAAAGATTCAGAAGGACAACTTGGGAACTGTTTGAAGAAATTTTTAGATGTTAGATGGTTTCTTTTTTAATCTTCACCCAAGGACATGCTTACTGAATTTAGAGTGAGGGGAAGTGTCAGAGAGAGGAAGGGAGAGAATCATCAGCTGGTTGCCTCTTTACTCCCCTGATGTGAACACTGGCCCACAATGTCCGTGGCAGTATGGATGAGAAGAGACATTCACATGGACTACCAAGTCCTGTGGAGGAAAAGGGATGGCACAGCTACTCTCTCAAGGGGGAAGCACCTCAGAGTGGCCTGACCACTCTCTTAAGAGAAGTGCACCCCAACCCTTGCCTTGACAGGCTTTTACTAATTTGCGTAGGAATAAAGCTCATCAATCACTGTCAGGCAGAAATGATTAAACAATAGATAACAATCAAAGATTGTTAACAAAGAACTCTGAAGGCATATTCTGAGTCAGGGTCAGGTAATTAAAGGGCCATAAAACTTTGGGGAGCAAACTCACTTCCTGCTTGGTCCCTTATTATTTAAATTGATGGTATTAGCAATGTTGGCTTCACAGGATTTTATGCTTTCTTTCTTAGGCCTGATCACCCTAGGGAATCCCCCCTTTCCAGCACAGGGCAGCACTCACCACTGGCATTATTCAGGCTTAAGTCAGGCTGTGGAAGTAAGGCAGCCAAGAGATTAGGAGACTTCTTGCAGACAGAATGAGGACTCAGGCTATGTCAAAGCTGAGGGGCGAGGGTCCATCACCCTCTTATTCTGTAGCCCCCAAGTCCTTCTTTGGGGGCCCCCATGATCATGCTTGTCTTAGGTCATCCCTCCCCTGAGGAATCTTACTCATCATTGGCTACGCGATTGAGCACTGGGGGCCAGGCAGGGTGAAGTAAAAGGAGCAGAGGCGGTGTCCTTGCCAGGGAGATAAGCTTTGTGTCCTTAGTGGCTTATGGTCCGAAGGTCCCTTACTCAGCCTTAGCCATGGGGGGGGGGGTGGGTTACAGCTTCTGAAACCAGGCAGGGCAGTTCCCAACACTCCCCAACCAGGGATTGAATCCGCAACCTAGGTATGTGTCCTGATTGGGGATTGAACCTGTGACTTTTTGCTTTATTGGACAATGCTTCAACCAGCTGAGCCACGCTGGCCAGGGCTTAGATGGTTTCTTTTTTTTTTTTTTTTTAAATATTTTATTTATTTATTTTTCAAGAGAGGGGAAGGGAAGGAGAAAGAGTAGGAGAGAAATATCAATGTATGGTTGCCTCTCATGCATCCCCTGCTGGGAACTGGCCTGCAACCCAGGCATGTGCCCCGACCGGGAATCGAACCGCGATACTCTGGTTCGCAGGCCCGCGCTCAATCCACTGAGCTACGCCAGCCAGGGCAGATGGTTTCTTTATGGAGTAATTATTTTCAGTATTTCTTTTTTAGGAAATTATTTCAAGAAATATGCCAATCTGATCCTGAAGAATGGAAATCTTTAAAAGATCTGAGAAGTAATCTTGGACATTTAGAATCAGAACTTTTGTTTCTAAGCACACTTACTGGCATCAATATAATCAGTTACTCCAAGAAGATAAAGAACCTAACAAGCACTGAGATGACAGAAAAGAGTAAGTATTAAGTTTTATCTAGAAGCAGTATTGATCCTTACCTTGTTATGCATAGGAAATTTAGTAGCATATCATTGAATTAGAATTCTGCAAGGTAGCTATTTGAGTGTGTGGTTGTGATAAGCCTTGTTTTGTAGGGTGTCTTGATCATCACCACATACCTAATAACTCTTTTAAAAGCTGCCTGGGGTACATATTAAGGAGACAGTGTCTTACTAATTAACTTAATAGTCAAGTAACAGAGATCAGTGATTGTAAGAACAATAGCACTGTTAATTTGTAGATCTTAGGAGTTTGTTCACCACTGACACAAGAGATGCCTCATATATAGTGCTATACTCTTATTAAACGTAGCCTGTGGCTAAGGTAAATGTTTCAGCAGCTAGACTGTTTACCCAAGGAGGGTTTCTGGTCTCAATAACTAAGTTTTATCGCCACGGATCTGTGATGCATTAACAGGAAAGTGGAGGCTAATTCAGCTGTGCAATTGGATATCAGGAACTTTGTTTGGACAGAAGTACCATTCCCTAAAGAAGGAATCACTTTTGGAAATACTTCTTGGCTCCCATTGAAATAACCCTCTAGACATGGAGAGGAGAGTGACCCTCAGTCTTGAATAGCTCACCTCAGTGGAAGTTTGAGTTACATATAGAAATGAGTATTTAGACACTTTGGTACTTGAAAAAAGGAGTTGGAATGCAGAGAAAATGGAGAGTGAGGTTAGGCCAGGTAGATTTTTATTAGTACAAAATCTCAGTCTTCCTATTTTGAGCTCCAAGTTCAGCCCCATCTGTTGAAGTACTTGGTGCTACCAATTCAGAATGCCTTTGTGGTATTTTGCTATGTAAGTGGGTTTGATTCAGAGCTTTCCCTATTGTCGGCTTAGGTTTCAGTTTTCCTGGGTCTGCCAGTAAATTCTACTTTTCCATGTGATATCTGGCTCATCCACATGATTTTCAGCTTCCCAAATTATGTTACTTTCATTGTTTTCTTTCTTTTTATCCTTGTAGAATTGTGCCCTTCTAAAAATACCTTTATTAGTAAATCTAGATGTTGATAAAGTCAGAATAGTGGTTATTTGGGGCAGGGGGGTAGACTATAGCCTGGGAAAGGGCATGAAGCAACTTCAGGGGGTACTTTAAAATTTCTGTATCTTGACTTACTGAAATGGTCATATGAGAAATATTTGTACTTTATGGTAATCTTTAGTATAATTGCTAACTAAAAAGTACAAGTTGATTTAATTTTATTTTACAGAAGTAATCAGTTTGGTGTACATTACTCTAAATATTTTCAATGCCAATATTAACATATACCTCACACCTATACCAACATGAATGTTGAACACATTCACATAAAATTAATTAATGGATATTTGAAGGAAATTGTTATTTGCAAATAAAATATTTGTTTTTCTGATAGGTATAAAGAAAGTTCTACAGAGACACAAATTATCAGGAAATTGCCACATGATTACATTTCAAGTTGAATTTCAGATTCTGGAAGTTCAGGTAAATTAAAGAGTGTGTTGTGATAACAAAGATTCTGTTTCTTTGAAATAAAAAATCTCCACCCCCACCCCCAGCTTCCAGCAGTGGCCAAGTGAAGGAGGAGTTCATGAACCAGGATCTTTTTGTAGTGTATTTGTGCAAAGTGATACAATTTCAAAAAATGTTTAAAGTATAAATACTGTACCCCAACAACTGCATATACCATTTTGTTGCTAAGGATATAGGTGCTTTATTGGAGGGTAGGTTCAAGAGGCTCCTGGGCTACCAGTGCAAGACCTAAGGTCATGGGAACAGTCCTGGATGCCCTCAGTAGTTAGCTAATATAGCAGCCATTTTTAAAATATATTTTGTTGATATACCATTGCAGTTGTCCCATTCCCCTCCATCCTACACACCCCTCCCCCACCTTCCCCCCTTTCATTTATGTCCATGTGTCACAAGTTTTTTAGATTCTATATTTCCTCTACTATTCTTGCCCTTCCCCTATCTATTTTTTATCTACCATCTATGCCACTTATTTTCTGTACCTTCTCCCCCCTTCTCCTTCTCTCACTTCCCTGTTGCTAACCCTCCATGTGATCTCCATTTCTATGGTTCTGCTCCTGATCTAGCTGTCCTCTTAGTTTGCTTTTGTTTTAGGTGTGGTTGTTAATAACTGAGTTTGCTGTCCTTTCACTGTTCATATTTTTATCTTCTTTTTCTTAGAGAAGTCCCTTTAACATTTCATATAATAAGGGCTTGGTGATGATGAACTCCTTGAACTTGACCTTTTCTGAGAAGCACTTTATCTGCCCTTCCATTCTAAATGAAAGTTTTGCTGGATAGAGCAATCTTGGATGTAGGTCTTTTGGTTTCATGACTTGGAATACCTGTTTCCAGCCCCTTCTTGCCTGTAAGGTCTCTTTTGAGAAATCAGCTGGCAGTCTGATGGGAAGTCCTTTGTAGGTGACTGTCCCCTTATCTCTTGCTGCTTCTAGGATTCTCTCCTTCATTTTAATCTTGGCTAATATAATGATGATGCACCTTGGTGTGTTCCTTCTTGGGCTGGTTCCCAGGTATGTGGGCTTGTGCACCCTCCAGGACCTTGCGGGTCTCTCCAATGAATTTCTCTGTGAGCCTGGGAGCTTCTCCTAGCACCTCGACCCTGGAAGTTTTTCCAATTGGTGCTTTCAGGCTCTAATTCCCATGGCTGGGGTCCTGGCCTGAGCAGTCTATGTCACTGCTCTGTCCTTTACTCCTTAGCTTGGTTTATCTGCGTGTGAATGTGTGACCACGGTCAGCCAGCCACCTTGCGCCCTCACTGGGTCTGCCCGTTGCCACCCCACACCTGGGATCCGCCAACCACCTCCTGCGCTCCTGAGCTCCTGGGTGGGTCTGGCTGATCTTCCAACTGGCTCTGCCGCTGACTCCGCCCCTCTTACACGTCTGGATGAATGGTTCGTTGTTGTCAGACTTTCGTACAATTCAATTTTCTGCGTTTTGGCTGCGTTTTTGTTACTAAAACTTTGTTGTCTTTAAACTTGGTTGTGCGAAAGGCACAGTGTTTCCACCTATGCCTCCATCTTGGCTGGAAGTTTTTTTAAGATTTTTATTATTCAATGGTAAATCCTCTAATTCTAGGCCTACTCATATAAGTAAAATATATTTTTAGAAATATATTTCTAGTAGAATGCTAGTTAAAGGAGATATATATGTAAATTCTGATTGATAGTACCACATTGCCTTTTAAAATGGTTTTACTATTTTACATGTTGAGCAGATTTTTGTAATTGAGACTAATAGAAAAAATCAATAAAGACACAACTTTCTGTGTCCTAAAACATTTTTTAACAAAATTTCCACTAGAGGGAGATGTTTAGCTATCAGAAAATTTAAATAATTTCAGTCTTCATAGAATGTTGTAATAAAATCATGGTAATACAATGTTAGAAGCCAAAATGACTTCACATCATAATAGAATGTTGGAATCAAAAGTGACCTTATAGATTATCTAGGTCAACCCTCTTATTTTTTAACAGAAATATAGTGAAGGATTTGAACGATTACCCATGTTGACACAGCTGTTGTTGTCATAGGTGGTTGGAACATTTATCTCAGTTCACCAGATTTATTGTCTGGTATTTTTAGTGCTGTACTGTTTGTACAGAGTTGCAAGAACATAAGAATTAACAAGTGTGAGCATTCATAGTTCATGCAACATAATAAATGTAATGGGTGGGAGTTTGGGGGAAAGGGACAGATTGACAGTGTTTTCATAACTTTTCTCCCTGAAGCCCAATGAAATGAACAAAATGATTAAATAAGAGGGAAGTTTTTATTTTTATTATTATTTAAAAAACATTTTATTTATTTATTTTTAGAGGGAAGGGTAGGAACAGAGAAATAGAGTGAGAGAAGCATTGATGTGTGAGAGAAACATTCATCTTCTACCTCTCTCTTGCACTCCAACTAGGGGACTGGGCCTGCAACCCAGACATGTGCCCTGGCTTGGGAATCAATCTGATAACCCTTCACTTTGCAGGATAACACTGAACCAACTGAGCCACATCGGTCAGGGCCAAACAGAGAAACTTTTTAATTTAAAAGAATAAAATCCTGTCCCTGCCAGTGTGGCTCAGTTGGTTGGGTGTCATTCTGTGAAATGAAAGGTCGCTGGTTGGATTCCTGGTTGGGGCACATGTCTGGGTTATAGGTTTGCCCCCCCCCCCATCAGGGCACATATAGAAGTACAGAACGCACTGATCAATGTTTCTTTCTCACATCAATGTTTCTTTTTCTCTCTTTCTCCATTCCTCCCTTCCCCTCTCTCTAAAGTCAAAAATAAAAAATAAAATAAAATAATTCCTATATCACACGAACCAAAGAAAATGTACCTGATACGAACACATTCAAATGCAAGTGAAAGAAGATACTGGAATTTGATATAGGGTGCTTCATAAACAGTATATAAATTTTACAAAATTAATGGGACCATTTCCTGAATGATTTTACTCACAATTCTTAAGTTGAAGAGGAGTGAAAACTTTGGACTTACGTGAAATGGACTGTAGTAGAAAGGAATGTGCTGCTCAGTCTCACGCAGTGTCTTTGAAGTCAGCTTGTTTATAAGCTCCCTTCCCTTGTTCACCAACTGGGGAAGGTTGACCTGATTAGCAGTATGACATGCCAGAGAGAGATGGGAAAACTATATATTGAAGTCAGCTTTTCAGTGGCTGAACAGAATCCAGACTGGCCCATCCCCCCAAAAAATAAATAATAGAGGGCCAGTACATCATAGGCTTTATGCTGACAGGATTATTTATTTCCCTCTCCCAATCAGTGAAAGGCCAAAATCTATACACCCACATATACTCGAACAAAAGACAAGACTCAGATTTTTCTTTTTTGTAACAGCTCTATTGAGATATAATTCATATACCATATAATGTATCCATTTAATATATACTTGTACACTGAGTAGTTTTTAGTATACTCAGAGTTGTACAACCATCACTTCATCAATTTTTAGAAAATTATCACCTCAGAAAGAAACTCCAGCCATGACTGGGTGGCTCACTTGGTTGGATGTTGTCCCAGTAAGTCAAAGGTTCAGTTCGATTTCAGGGCACATTCCTGCTTGTGGGTTTGGTCCCCAGCCAGGATGCATAGGACAGACAACTGATTGATGTTTCTCTCTCACACTTATGTTTCTCTCCTTTTTCTCCTTCCCTTCCACTTTCTCTAAATATAAATAAATAAAATCTTAAGAAAAGCAAAAGAAAGAAAAACTTCATACTCTTTATCACCACTCAGTCCCCCTCCTTCTGCCCAGATCTAAGCAACAGCTAACCCTTTTCTCTCTGTGGATTTGCCTAGTCCAGATAGTTCATATGAATGGAATTATAATACGTGGTCTTTTCAACTGATTAATTTTATATTTTCAAGGTTTATTCATGTTGTAGCATGTATAATTACTTTATTCTTTCTTGGCTGAATAATCCAATTTCAGGTTATGTCACATTTTGTTTATTCATTCATTAGTCAATGGACATTTGAAGTTGTTTTCACTCTTGGCTGTTATGAAGAGTATTGCTATAAACATTCATGTACAAGTTTTTAAGTTGACATGTTTTCAATTTTTCTGGATATATATCTTAAGGGTAGAATTACTGAGTCAAATTGAACTATTAGATAACTGAACATCTAATATTGAACATCTTTTCATATGCTTGCTGGCCATTTATCATCTGTGAAGAAATGTCTGTTGAGATCTTTTGCTCAGTTCTTAATTGGGTTGTCTTTTTATTATTGAGTTGTAATTGTGCCTCTGAAATGTATGTTTTTGATTAGATATAGAATGGTGGATGTCTATTTAAAACTAACAATCCCCACTATCCCCTTAGTAGCTGAAAAACTAAACAAAGATTATAAATCATCAATATCCATTTCTCCAGCAGCTCAAATACAAAGAAACAAGTCAGATAGTACCCCAACAAATGGAGAAGAATCAAGGGGTACCCAGTCACTCTACTCTGTTCCTAGGAAATAGCAAAAATTCCTAGACTTACTCCTGTCAGTAAATAGGAGCTACAGAGTTCAGAACACAAAAATGATGCAGAGTTCTTGCATCATTAGCTACCCAAAAATACTACCATGAGATAAATTAATAAGAAAATGGAGATGAGTTCACTTTGGAAGATTAATCCAGGAAATACAAGAACATGCTATATAAAATTGCTGTAACTCTCAAATGAAAGTATTTAAAGAAAATTGTATAAGAATAACACAGAGGCCCTGGTCAGTGTGGCTTGGTTGGTGTGTTGTCCCACAGACTGAAAGGTCACAGTTTGATTTCCAGGCAGGGTACATACCTGGGTTGCAGGTTCAGTCCCCAGCCAAGGCGCATACAAAGGGCAAACAATTGATGTTTCTCTCTCCCATCAATGTTTCTCTCCCTCTCTCACTCCTTTCCTTCTCTGCTCTCTAAGAAATATGAGAATAAAAAATCAGTGGACATGTTCTTGGGTGATGATAAAAAAAGAAAAGAAAAATAGTAACAGGGTTGACACGAAGGAAGAAGAGGGGAGGGAGGGAAGGTAATGATAGAAAGAAAGGAAGGAGAGATAGAGGGATATAATGATTATAGTCCTGAAAACTATATTAGAAGTAGCCAGGAGTATAATATAAAGGACAGGCTTGAGAAAAATTACGTTTAAGAAGAACTGAGAAGAAGAAAAAGGTAGAAGACAGAAAACAGAGAGTCAATATATGATTTTTTCAAAATGAAGAAAAAAGTGAAAGAAATTATAGGCAAATATATAATACAGGGAAATTTACTAGAATAAAGAAGAAAATGTGAATTGCATTTCAAAATATGTAAGTTCATTTAGCAATCCCATGGTTGAATATTGAGTTGCTTTCTCCTTTTTATAATAGCCAGAAGTCTCTGTCTTCATTTCTTTATTATGTCAGGACAGATTCAAATCAAATTGTTGCGATAGAGACTGAATATTTTAAGTTATGCATTGCCCAAATGGTGTTAGAGAAAAAAAAATCTCATCTCATTGTTTTAATTATTATTTATTTTGTTATTAATGAGAGTAAACATTGTTTTCCATGTAAATTGCCTTCACCTTTGAGTTGTTAATGTACCTTGCCTTTTTCTTTTCAGTTTTCCTCTTTGTTATGTTTATGGTAAAATTTTCCCTAAGTTTATTGCTTCTCTTTTAGTTATAAAGTTATTTTTATATAGATATTGAGTTTTTATCAAATTTGTTTGCTTTTTTATTTTTAATTTTTTTTATTTTTTTAAAATTTTATTTATTTATCTTTAGAGGGGAAGGGAAGGAGAGAGGGAGAGAAACATCAATGTATGGTTGCCTTTCGTGCGTCCCCTGCTGGGAATTGGCCTGCAGGGAACTGGTCTGCAACCAAGGCATGTGCCCTGACTGGGAATCGAACCCCGATTGTCTGGTTCGCAGGCCCGCACTCAATCCACTGAGCTACACCAGCCAGGTTGTTTGCTTTTTTAATTACGGTTTTGTAGAAAGTGTTTTCTTGCTCAGTAATTAGTTAACATTTAAGTGAGTAATTCACTTGAAGGTCATTTTGGTTTTTGGTATGGAGCAAGGATCTGATTTTATTCTTTTAACAAATAACCAATGTTTTCAGTACCTTCTATAGATTACCTCTTGTGGTTACTTGGTGGCATTTCATTTTGCATAAATTTTAAAATGATTTTTGTCTTTATTTTATTTGAATGTTTACTGTGCTCTCATACATAAACTTTTTTAAAATTTTAGAATCAGGAGAACTTATCTTCTGTTATTACTGACCTCAACATAATAATGGAGCCCACTGCATATTCAGAACTAAGTGAATTTGTGTCTAGGTAAGACATTTTACAAAAATCTTTTTAAATTATTGTTTTCAGTCTATGAGTTTACTTTTTCTTTCTTTTGGTAAGTAAATATAAAAATATCTCAAAGTTTCATGTCATTATTATGGCTTACATTTAAGCCTATATTCTCTATGTCATTCTTTGAATAAAAATTTATTATACATGTACTATGCACCAGGCATTAAAATTAAGTTTGAATAAAAGCAGATATAAGCCTTAATCCTCATGGAATTTATAGCCTAGTGGAGAAGTCAAGTATTAAATAATCACAGAGATAAATCTAAAATTGTGCTTGTGTTAAATGTTACAGAGAAGAGTTATGTAATGCTGTTGAAGCATACATCAGGAATTTAACTTTCGAGGATAACATGGAATGATTTCCTGAAACTTGAATTGATATTTGAAAAATGAGTAGGCATAAGCAAATAGGTCTTGGACAGAACAGCTTGTGGGAGGCACTGTGCTAGGAGGGAGCATGGTGTCTGTGGGCAGCTGACAGGAGGCCAGAGTTATTATAAAACGAAAAAACAAGGGAGTGTGGTACAAGATGAAGCAAATTATGAAAGAGCTACATTATGTGCAGTTTGTTGTAAGGAGTTTGATCACAGACCTAAGACCCATGTAAAGCTATTGGAAGCTTTTAAACAGAGCCTAATGAAGGCAGAAGGGTGACACCCTTTGTGTAAAGAACTTATTCAGTATGCTGTAGGGAAAATGGATTGAAGGGGTGCAGTAGCAGTTGCAGGAAGGTAAATGACTAGCCAGTAAGATGTTCATGCAACAGAAGTTTATAGTTTTTATTTTTGTTGTTAAATTTTTTTTTTATTTTAGAGAGGGAGGGAGAGAGAGGACGAGAAACATTGATGTGTGAGAGAGACATCAATAGATCAATTGCCTCTCACACACCCCAACTGGGGACCTGACCTGAAACCCAGGTATGTGCCCTGACTGGGAATCCAGTCAGTGACCTTTGCATGTGCAGGCCAGTGCTCAGTCCACTGATCCATACCAGCCAGGACAGAAGTTTGTAGTTTGGACTAGAATAATGGCAGCTGAGGTAGAGAGATGGGTAGATTTGGAGATATTTAGGAAGCACAATTGAATGGGCATGGTGTTGTAAATAAGAGGGGTCAGGAGCCATTAACAGGCAATAACTTCTTGAGATAGGGGAAGTTAGAAGAAGACCGAGTCACGTGAGATTGTAACCTCAGTTTGGACGTGTTGAGCTTGAGTGCCTGTGAAACACTGAAGTAAATATATGAAATAGGCAGCTCAGAAACAGTGTAAGTAGGAGATACAACCCTGGAGTGATATGCTAGAAAGTAGAAATTAAAGCCTGGAAAAGGAATGAGACTGCCTATGAAAGAATATAGAATTCAATTGTGAGCACAATATGAAAATAGAAAAGGACTTGAACCTGAACCATGAGGAATCCTAAAGTGTACTGCTGAATGAAAAAGAAAGATCTTGCAAAGGAATTAGAAAAGGAACTGTCTGAGAGTTAGGAGGAAAACCAGGAATGTGTTGTTGATAATTGATAACTGGATTGATCTTTAAAGATATCTTTCCAGTGTCTTTTGGATTTTATAAGTTGTGACAAAAAGTCTGTATAGTGTTATTTTGTGTATATTGTTTTGGCTGCCTTCAAATCTTCCTCTTAATTTTTCTTTTCCACAATTTGTGCTATATCTGGGTTATTTTGTGTGAAAGCTTCCTGCCATATCTTCTATTAGTGAATTCAATTCAGTTCTTTCTTATCCTTAAAATGGGGTTTTGGAAGCTGGAGTGTTTTCCTCAGTGTTACAGCTCCACTCTCAGCTTTCAGCAAGTCCCCATGTGTTTGTTCAGAGGGGACTCTTTCTCTGTACACTTGATATGTCACTAGCGGTAGAGACTGATGCTATTACTTGGTGCTAGGTTCATTGTGAGAATTAAAGGAGTTCTGCATTTTTGTAGTTTGTCCCCAGTATTGGATGGGTCTTTTGGACCCACACCTTGAGGTTAGGGCTCTTGATAGTGTTTCTGTTGCTTCTTTCCAGTGCCATCAAAGTCAGCCTGGGTCTATGAATGGTCTTGTCCCTCCCGCAGTTGTGGTAGACATAGGCTTGGTATTAATGTAGGTTCCTGGGCCCAGTGAATTTCCGGTCTCCTCCCAGAAGTTTTTGCCTCTCCCCATCTTCCCAGAGCAACGGATCTTTGTCTTGGTAGCAGAAGTATTTACTGCTCCTCTCCCGAGTCAGATGGGTATGACTTTTCTTCCTCCCTCAGAAGTAAGGGAATTCTCCCCTCCCACCCTCGCCCCCAGTTGCTTTCCTGCTGCTTCTTCAACAGCTTAGAGTTTTTGCTTCCTAACATAAAAGAGTTCTGGCTTCATTTTGTAACCCAGTGCAGCATTGGCTCTTCATGCCTGTGCCACTGAGGGGAGCTCTACAGGTTGCTGACGTGACTCCAGTCTTTCTGATGGAGACCCTGTGTGTCTCAGGTTTGCATCTGCTCTAAATGATACTCTACTTCACATTTGTCCTTTAAGAATTTGTCAAAAATTTAAATGATTTCTTCTTATTCACTAGTATGGTGGCTGCTTTCTTCCTGTATGTTTAACCAAAGGTGAACAGTTTATGTGTTCTGTCCTTCTTTGAAGGAGAAAAATGTTTATTTACTTGGTTGTCGTGTGACTTCAGGTCTTTGACTAGCTCAAGAAAGATAATAATTTCATAGATTATTGAGATTTTCCTTGGTGGTAGGTTGAAAGTGACCTTCATTACAGCTTTTTGCATCCTAAGTAGAAGCTCAATCCATCAGCTACACTAGCCAGGGCCACATTTTATTTATCTTCAAGTGTTTGTCTGAAATATATTACTTTTTATTTCATAAATATAAGATCTTATTATATTTTATTTTATTATCATTTAGTACTCTTGTACCACCCTCACCTGGGCAATTACCACACCATTGTCCATGTCCATGAGTGCTTTTTCCTTTTTGCTCAATCCCTCCACCCTCTCACATCCCCCCACTAGCTGTCATCCTACTCTCTATCTATGAGTCTGTCCCCATTTTCCTCATTAGTTCCAGTTTGTTCATTAGATTCCACATATGAATGAAATTATATGGTATTTGTCTTTCTCTGACTGGCTTATTTCACTTAGCATAATGTTCTACAGGTCCATCCTTACTTTTGCAAAGGGTTAAAGTTTCTTTTTTGTTACAGCTGAGTGGTATTCCGTTGTTCAAATATCCCATAGTTATTTTATCTACCCATGTACTGATGGACACTTCGGCTGCTTCCATATCTTGGCACTAGTAAATAATGCTGCAGTGAACATTATGTTCTTTCAAATTTGCATCTCTCTGATGATTAGTAATGTTGAGCATTTTTTTCATGTGTCTATGGGCCCTCTGTATGTCTTCTTTATGATAGTAAAAGAGGACTTTTGTCTATTCAGGTCTTTGCCCATTTTTTAATTGGGTTGTTTGTTTCTATGGTGTTGAGTTTTGTAAGTTGTTTATAAATTTTGTACGTTAGCCACTTATCAGATGTATTGGTAAATATGTTCTCCCATTCTGTGGGTTGTCTTTTAATTTTGTTGATGATTTCCTTTGCTCTGCAAAAAATTTTTTAGTGTGATGCAGTCTCATTTGTTTATTTATTTAACTTTTTTGTTTCCCTTGCTTGTGGAAGTATAACCGATAAAATATTGCTAGGAGTAATGTCTGAGATTTTGCTGCCTATGTTTTCTTTTAGGATTTCTCTGGTTTCATGTCTAATACTTAAGTCTTTGATCCATTTTGAATTTGTTCTTTGGTGTGGTGTATGAAGGTGTTCTAGTTTCATTTTTCTGCATGCTATCTGCCCAATTTTCCCAACTCCATTTCTTGAATAGACTATCTTTAGCCCATTGTATGTGCTTGCTTCCTCTGTTGAATATTGACCATGAAGGTGTGGGTTGATTTCTGGGCTTTCTATTCTGTTCCATCAATCTATGTGTCTGTTCTTACGCCAGTATCATGCTGTTTTGATTACTATGCAGTATAGTTTGATATTAGGCAATGTGAATTCTCTGGCTTTGTTCTTTCTCAAGATTGCGATAGGTATGTGGAGCCTTTTGTGGTTCCCTATAAATTTTTGAAATATTTGTTCTAGTTCTGTGACATACATCATTGAAATCTAGATAAGGAATTGAATTAAACCTATAGATTGCTTTAGGTAGCCTGGACATTTTAGTGATGTTAATTCTTATCCATGGACATATGTGCTTCCAATAATTTGTATTTTCTTCAGTTTCTTTCTTCGATGTCTAATACTGATAATTTTCTGATTATAGGTCTTTTACATCCTTGCTTAGGTTTATTTCTAGGTATTTTATTCTTTTTGTAGCAATTGTGAATGGGAGTGTTTTCTTAATTTTCCTTTCAGTTAGTTCATTATTTGCATATACAAATGCAACTGATTTCTGGATATTAATTTTGTATCCTGATACGTTGCTGAATTCATTCGTCAGTTCCAATAGTTTCTTGGAGGAATTGCTGGGGTTCTCTGTGACAGGATCATGTCATCTGCAAATAAAGACAGTTTTACTTCATTCTTTCCACTTGGATGCCTTTTATTTCTTCTTATCTAATTGCTGTGGCTAGGACTTCCAGTACTATGCTGAATAAGAGGTGAAAGCAGACATCCCTGTCTTGTTCCCTATCTTAAAGGGAACATTCATAGTCTTTACCCGTTAGGTATGATGCTGGCAGTGAGTTTATTTTATATGGCATGGGTGTTAAACTCATTTTCACTGGGGCTCACATCAACCTCTCAGTTGACTTCAAAGTCCTGAATGTAATTTTAGGGCTACATATGTGTAACTACTGCTTAACAGTTAAGCGAGAGCTCGTCACTGCTGCCAGATAGAAACAAGGTGGAGGACTGGATTTAGCCTGCGGGCCCTGTGTCACCACCTCTGATATATGGCCTTTATTATGTTTAGGTATGTTCCCTCTAT